GGAACCCCTTCCCTCCAGGACCCCTCCTGGAACCACCGAGTTTATCGACTGGCCCTCACCAAGCTCTCCCCTCCCATCATCCCCTTCATGCCCCTCCTCCTCAAAGGTGAGTGGCTCAGCCCTGACCCGCTCGCCCCATCTCCATCCATGTCCCCTGGCCCTGGCTAAGTGACCACTGGGAGCTGACACCTAACCAGGCTAGGGGAGGTGTTCGGCATGCAGACAAACAGCGCCAACTTGAGAAGCCCAATGCTCTAGGTCTCAGAGGTCAAGGGCCTGGCTCCCAAGCTTGGACGGGTGGGACAGGAAGAAGCGGTGTGGGGCTGGCCCTTTGCAATTCCTGGACTACAGGAGGGGGAAGGGCTTTGGGGAGTTTTGAATCAAATCCGACTCTTTTCAGACATGACCTTCATCCATGAAGGGAACCACACGTTAGTGGAGAATCTCGTTAATTTTGAGAAGATGGTGAGCGGGTCACTGGAGGGGGTTGGAGGGCAGGGCTATGAGGGGAGGGGGGTGACCCAAACGTGTTTGTAACGCGGCAGCTACGCATCCTTGGGAAGTAACCCCAGCCTTCTTCAGAAGGCCTGGTCTCTGTGGAGGGTGGCTGGGATGAGCAGCCTCTCGAGGGAGCCCCTTCCTTCCTCCGCTCGGCTCCCACAGGACCTCTGGGTTTGCCGGGCAGAGCGGGCAGAGCCCATCTCTGACAGCTCCTCGCTCCCACAGTGGGTAAGCACGTGGCTGCTAAGTGAGAGGCCGGAGGTTCCAGCCTGCTGGCCACTCTGTGGGAGGGAAAGCCTGGTGGCCTGTCTCTGTAATGGCGATGGAAGGACGGGTGTTGGTACACTCAGCAGCACCTAACCACAGTGGTCCCTGGGAGGGCCCCATCACAGGGAGTGGGGAGCCCCAACCACCCCGCAAGGGCTGGTCAGGGTCCTGCTCCTCGGGCCGGGTCTCACAGCCTGGTGTTGCCCACAGCGCATGATGGCGAGAGCCGTGAGGCTACTGCACCACTGTCGGAGCCACGGCAATGGTGAGGCTGGGCAAGCGGGAAGCGTGGTCAGCGGGCTGGGAGCTCCTGCCCTCCAGACCCTCAGCAGCCTGGGGGCCGGGTGCATGGTCCAGGAGAGGCCCTCCCCGACCCCCACCCACCAGTGAGCTTTCTCTAAGGCTTCATCCCATCTCCTTTCTCCTCTTCCACCCAGTACCTCTCTCACCGCTCAGGAGCCGCGCATCCCAGCTGCACGAGGACAGCCAGGCCATGAGGGTCTCTACGTGTAAGTAGGGGGCAGCCGTGGGTGCTGACCGTGCTGCCCCATGGCCCTCAGTGGGCCAGGCACGTTGTGCACTTGATGCTGAGAACACGTCCCAGCACGGCCAGCAGGGAGGTGATGAGCTTAGGGGACGCTGGAAGAGAAGATGACAGAGGCTTGAGTCTTTAAGGAACTTGCTGAAGGCCACGCAGTCAGTTGGTGATGGAGCAGAAACCCAAACCCTCCCTCCCAAACCACATTTGTTTGGATTGGCTCTTAGTTATGTGTCCACTAACTGTAATCCACGGCTCGCCCGCTACTTCCATGTTATGAGGAAACTTTAGAAAGTCCTTGGAAAAATTCCATGGTCTTTAGGTCCCATTTTTCCCCATGAACTTTTTCAAGCCCCTCATGTGTGTGTGCATTCGAGGGGGTACCCACAAAAAATGGAGAAAAAGCTCTGTTGGGTGGAGCTTTCGTAGTGCACATTTTTCCTGCTAGGTGAGCATCCAGCTACTCACTCTGAGTTAGCGCACCCAGTGGCATTGCCTGGGAAGGTTCTCTTTGGTCACAGTGAATTTTTTTGTAAAATCACTTGCGCTCAAACCTCATTTTTTGTGATGACTGGGTTAAGAGAACAGCGTGAAGCTGTGAAATTTTGTTTCCTGCTTGGGAAAAATGCTGCAGAAACTGTTGTGATGTTGAACACAGCTTACAAGAACAGTGCTATGGGAAAAACTCAAGTGTACGAGTGTTTTTCTCGTTTTAAAAAAGGTGAAATGTTGATTGAGGACAAACGTCATTCTGGATGTCTGTCAACTTTCCAAATGGACAAAAATGTCGACTTGTAGTGCATTTGGAGTTTATTCCACTCGGTCAGACTGTTAATCAAGCTTTCTATTTAGAGGTTCTGAAAAGATCGTGTAACAGTGTGGGACAAAAAAGGCCTGATTTGTGGCACACAGGGGACTGGCTTTGCCACCACGACAATGCACCTGCTCACACATCCATCTCAGTGTGCCAGTTTTTGGCAATAAACAGCATGCCTCTCTTGCCCCACACACCTTACTCACCTGAACTTGCTCTGCGTGAATTCTTTTTGCTTCCTCAAATCTAGAGGGAAATGAAAGGACAGCGATTTGACAACATACAATAGGTGAATTAAAAAATCAGGAAGGTGCTGTCAGCTATCCAAACAGATGAGTGTGAAAAATGTTTCCAAAAATGGAATCGCAGATTTGACAAATCTATTAAGTTGTGTTAGTCCAAGTAGCCCAGAGAAACAAATTCATTGACACTAATATATGTGTAAGAAAGAAGTTTCTAACAAAGAGCAAATGTATATTAAGAAACATCCCAGCCCAGTCCCGATCAAGTACATAAGTCCAATATTAGTCCATGTGTCCGATACTAGTCTATAAATTCCTCTTTAGACTCATGCAGTCATGCAACGATACCCAATGCAGGAAGATCACAAGCCAGTGGGTGGAAAGTCTTGTGGATCCAGTGGCGGGAGAAGTGTCTCAGTGCTGGCGTGGGTCTCCACATGGCTCCTTATGCCCCAGGGCTCTGGCTCCATCAGTGTGTCTCCATGTGGCTTGTCAACAGGAATGTGAAGCAGAGAATGTGTCCCACATCCAGGGAGGAAGACAGGAGTTCCCCGAATCCTCAGGAGAAGGCGGTGCCCACACAGAGGCCTCATTGGCTCCGATGCGATTGACAGGCTAGAATCCACCCTTACACTCAAGTTGACAGGAGATTACGGACTGCCACAGACCACCCTTTGTCAACCTGACCCTTTTACTCAACTCTTTAACCGTATATAATTTTTAAACAAAACAAAAAAATCATACCTGTACCTAACAGGATAAAACTAAAATGCATAGAATTCAATATGTGCCAGCTTCATTTAAACATAATATTCTATAAGCAAACAAAACAAAAATATTCTATGCCTAACAATTGTAGTTAAGTGAACACCTGCACTATAATTGTATGATCCTATGAATATATTCCCCCACTTATGAAAGTTTGTAAGTCAGCCACTTCATGACTTTATCCTCCCATTTTGGGGTATCCAATTTCTATATTGCTCACTTATATCAACCCAGTGCCCTGCGGAGACAGTCATATTCTTTGATGTGAAGAATCCTCTTTCCAGTTGGAACCTTGTGAAGTCCGCATCCAGAAGCAAAAATCAAATCCGGACAGGCCATCCATAAAGTCAGCAGCAATATGCACCAGTTCACAGGCTCAAAAATCTTCCCTTCATCGGGTCAGGTCTGGTCAACTCACTGTAGGCTGCCTCACTGAGCCTCACTAGGGTGCCCACTGGCTGCCTTGCCTTTAGATTATGGGCCCATCACAAATTCTCAACAACCCTAACCCCCTTGTGCTAGGTTATGAACTTCAAACCAGTCAACCCGCTCTCATCTTTTCCTCTAGTTCCTATGAACCAGGCCTGTGGGTGTCAGTGTCCCACTCAACCTGTCTATTGCTGTGTTTCTCTCCCTCCCCCTCAACACATCGATCCAGGTGGTCACCTAGCAAGCGTTTCAGCCTGCCCACAGGCTCCCTTTAACTGTTCAGTCCTAGAGCATAGAGTTCCACATTTTTCAGAGCGTAGAGCTCCACATTTTTCCGGCTTTGGACACAAACCACTAGTTCAAAATTCAAAAAACCAAAGAGTTCCTTTTTTTATTCCAAGCTGTCAACAGCCCCCTAGGCAAGTCTCTTCACCTTGGAATGTCCCGAGCACTCACGACCCTGGGTGGGGCTGACCTCTTCAGGGCCTTCTTTGCAGGCCTGTCCGAATCCATTTAAAAATTCAAATTAATCTTTGAAGACAAGTGGGCTTACAAGCTCTCTGTTTTCACATACTCCCCAATAATCATTTCTATCAGTCATTATATCAATAACAATAAGCAGAAGAAAACAGCATAAACCTAGTACAGCAAGATCCTAAACTTAATTTTTAAAACAGTCTGGTTGAATCCTTATCTAAATTATTCCATTGATACAAAATATAGCCTGAGGCCTCTGACTGAATCAAGCCAGGGCCAGGCTTTCTGTCAGCCATTGTGTCCTTCTGTCAGCCATTGTGTCCTTCTGTTAGCCAGTTTCACTAAGCAGCATGGTCTCTGAGAAATTCAGGGGGTGAGTTTGCCCCCTAAGCTCAAAATATACATTAATCACCTTCATTTTCTCCATTTAAAACAGGAGTACCCAAAGACAACAACCAAAGAAAAGCATCAAAACTTTAACTTCCCATATTCTTTCCAGAAAACAACCCAGTAAACTGCATGGACGTATCTGACCTCTGGCTAGCCAAAGAAGAAAACCTACCATGAGGCAGAGGTCAAACAAGCATCCACTCTCCGTCTTATGACTTGTTTCTCTAGTACCCCTCTGCTGGTACCATAATGTGCTAGTCTGGGTAGACTAGAGAAACAAATCCAGGGAGACTCATATGTATGTAAGAGAGAACTTTACATCAAAGAGCAATTGTATATATTGAGAAAACATCCCAGCCTAGTCCAGATCAAGTCCAATATTAGCCCGTATGTCCAAGACGAGTCCATAAATTCCTCTTTAGACTCAGGCAGCACATGCAATGATGCCAAGTGCAGGAAGATCACAGGCCAGCGGGTAGGTCTTGTGGATCCAGTGGCAGTGGAAGCATCTCAACACTGGTGCGGGTCTCCACGGGTCTTCTCCGGCTCTCCGAGTGTCTCCACAGCAGGAAAGGGAAGGCAGAGAGAGTGGGTCTGGCCTCCAGTGAGCTGTTTGTCTCCATCGCACCTCCAAATAAGGTCATTAAGCTGTGACTTGATTGACAGGCTAGACCCCACCCCTTCACTCAAGTTGGCAGGAGACCATGTAACTGCCACATAAGTGTAATGGAGAGCACTTTGAAGGTGATCAGGTTGTTTTGTAAAAAAATTGAATACATGGCTTTGAAAAAATTATTCCATTTTTGGAGGGGTACCCTCTTGTATTTGTATACGCACACATACTTGTGTATTCCACATATGCATGTATGTATACACACGTGTATATGTGTGTATACATATAGGTATACATGTGTGTGCGTGTGTGTGAATATGTGTTGTTGTTAGGAGCCATTGAGTTGGTTCTGACTCGTAGAAACCCTATGTGCAGTAGAAGAAAACACTGCCTGGTAAACACATACGTGTGTGTATTGTCTGTACATATTTGTTAAAATGTATTCTGATACTATAATGAAAATCCATGAACCCACCAAGAGCCTTGGTGGCACAGTAGTTAGGTGCTCAGCTATGAGCTAAAGGTTGGCGGTTTGAACCCCTCTCACCTCCTCCCCGCTCCCCAGGCCCTGCAGGATGGCAGCCTAGAAAGCCCAGGGGCAGCGCTGCTTTGCCACATAGGGAGGCTCACAGTCAACCCGAATCTATTTGACGGGCACCTGGCAACAAGGGCATGAGCCAACCACCCAAGCCAAGGCTGAGAGCACCGGCCATAGCTTATATCTTGCTCTCCCGGTGAGGGCAGGTGTCACTCCCCATTTCCTGTCCCCCTGATCGCCAACCTCCCCGGCCCCAAGGTAACCACCTTCTCGCTGTTGGACGCAGTGGTTTGATTTTGTTAACTAGCTTTGTCGGAAGCCGAGGAAGTGGTGTGGGGCCATGTCTGACCTCCGCTGGCTCCCCAGGCTGATGGCCACAAGGCAGGGGCCAGAGGTGCCCCCCCCCCTCCTGGAGATGAGAAGGTGGGGAGTAAACAGAGGGCAGGAGAGCTGGTTCTGCTCCTTGGTGGTGCGGGGGCACATGGGTCCCCTAAAGTGGCATGGCCGCCTCCTTGACCATCCCCCAACCCCTCTCCCCGCCCCACTCCAGGCTCGGAGCAGTCTGTGAACAGCCGGAGTCCAGCCAGCGCCTTGGCTTATGTCCAGCAGCTGAAGGTCATCGACAACCAGCGGGAACTCTCCCGCCTCTCCCGGGAGCTGGAGCCGTGACGGGGCTGGGACTGGAGCAGGCACTCCCCTCCTGGCAAGCCGGGCAGCTGGGCCAAGGGGCCACAGCTGGACAGGGCTCTCCCCGGAGTAGACGCGAGGCCCTGGAGTGGGCAGCATGGAGGCATCTGCCCCCTGTGATGACTGGGGGCCAAGGAGGACCTCGACACAGAACTGAGTTGGGGCCCAAAGCCAAGGGATGGGGGGCAGCGAGGCCCCGGGAGTGGGTGGGAGAGCCGAGCAGCTGCT